TTTATGCATACAGGCCTCAAAGGTATCTGTCCTAGTTCAACAAAATCAATAAATATTAATAATTCAGCAGCTGAAGTAATGGTTTTCAGAAAACAAGTCAGCAACTTTCGGCAGGGTACAAATGACCAGCCAATGGATCAGACCTGGAACTTCAAATATCCAGACATGTCTTCACATGAAATGCCTTTAGATCACATGTATACTGGAACCACAAAGTCATTGCCAATGACAGTATGAGGAGCTCACAAATATTTTATCATGTAAAATCTGATCCCTTGATCAATCTCTTCCAAAGCAACAAGTAGAAAAGGCTATGATACAGGGTGTGATCCTAGAAAAATCAAAACAGATGGCAAAACCAAAACTACTCTAACACTTTTCCTTACTAAGCCCTTGGGAAAACAGTTGACAATTCTTTAAGAGGTTAAATGAAGAATGGCTGTATCACCCAGCAATTCCAAGCTGGGAATACTCCTAAGAGAGATGAAATCATACATTCAGATGAAAGCTTGTACATAAATATTCATAGCAGTATTATTCATAATAACCCCAAATACCCATCAACTGAGCACTAAGTAAACAAGATGTGGCATATTGTTATTGTTTATTGTTTATTTCATATTGTGGCAATATGAACTATTGTCCCTAAAGAGAAATGAAGCACCAATACATGGTACAACACGCAGTATATGATTCCATTCATGTGACACATCCAGAATATGCAAATCTATGAGACAGAAAGTTACCCACCTCTTGTTGCATGGGTTGGGGGGAAATGAAGGTGACTGTTAATGCGTACAGAGTCTCTCTATGAAGCAACATAAAAAAGTGCTCAAATTGATTTGTGGTGATGGTTGTGCACTGTGTAGTATTTAATAAACAATAGTATTTACTATTATTTCAAAAATAGTAATAGAAAAATTTTTCAAAAATTATTTGGTGGGGCTGGGATTGAACCTAGGATCACATGTTAGGCAGGCATGATACCCGTGAGCTACACCTCAGCCCTCATGTTCCCTTTCAGATAAGTTTTTTTTTTTTTTTGTGGGATTGGGGTTTGAATTTAGGGCTTCATGCTTTGTAAAGCAGGTGCTCTGCTGCCTGAGCCACACCTCCAGGCCTCATTTTACATTTTAAATGAGTATATTGTATGCTATGTAAATTGTATTTCAATAAAGCTGTTATAAACTTTCTTAAAGCTGTTATAATTTTGTTAAAATTTCAAACACAAAAAGTCCTAAGAACTTTTTTTAATCTGTAATACCCAGCATAGGCCTAGGTAGCAGAAGTTGCATTTTCTTTCTTTTTTTGGTGGTAGTAGGGTTTGAGCTCAGGGCTTCACGCTTGCTAGGCAGGAGGCCCTCTACCACCTGAGCATGGACTCTTGACTAAAACTCCCTTCTTCTTAAACTGGCCCCACTGTTCTGACAAGGTGCCTGACTCCTCTGCGCCTGTGTATATGTAACATGAGGATAAGTAACGGTAATCCCTCCCAGAGATGTTGAGAGGATTACTTCATCGTAGAGCTAACACGCATGGAACTGAGCCTGGTAAGGACTCAGTGAATGTTATCTGTCACTATGAGTGCTCATCAACTTCAAGGCTGACAGAGGTGGAGGCATCACTTACTGTCTGTCAGAATCCTCTTGCACGGAACCTGGACTTGGTCCTTGAGAGCAAATGGAGCATCAAGGATGGAGCCTGAGCCTGAGCCGGGGTTTGATTCGGATAGGTGTAGACTATTTCCTTTCTCCCTGGTGGGACTATTAGACTCTCTGAGGGGCTTAGGTGCCACTGTTGAAGAACCCAAGTCTAGTGGGAGAACTTGACCTTCCCTAAATATATGCATTCCAAGGTTGTGGGGTAATGAAGTATTCTAGCTCAGGTGGTCCAGGGTTATGGTGATGCGTCGAGGCCTTTGGAGGTGGAACTCTGCACCCAGGCTGAAATAAAGCCTGCAGCTCCCTTGAGCATTCCTTGGTGCTATCACTTGCCTTGCTTAAATCTTCTTTACCTATTGACGCAAACCTTACCAACACTGGGCTGCTGGATTCCAGCGTCTGCCAATTTTGTTCTTCACTACGACTTGCAGGGCATGATTGCTTCATTTGTAGTGAACTTGGAGATGGATGACAGAGGTGACTCCATTTTGGATGAGAGAGGCATTTTAAAAGCAGACATTTAAGTTATGCATATGATTTTTTTTTTTTTTGCAATACTAGAGCTTGAACTCAAGGCCTTGAACTCAAGGTAGTGCTTGCTAGGCAGGCACACTACCACTTGAGCCACTCCACCAGCCTAAAAGCAGACATCTAAAGAGGTGTGGGAAACAATTTTTCAGAGAAATAACAAACCTCTTACTGAAATAACAAAATGCGGATGCACAATGTGGGTAATGAACCCTAAGGCCAGGACGAGTTGAGCAAATTTCCAAAGTCAGGGTGAGCTGACAAGACCTTGGAATGCTCAGTTCAATAAGGGGAGGAATGGACAGATGACCGAGGTTAGCGAGAAGCTGAACCAATTACAAATATAGTTTCAAGGTAGAAGAGTTAAACCTAAGCCAGTCAGTGCCCTGTATCATCTAGACTTCACTCATTGCTTGGCTTAGCTCTTTCACTAAGTCCCAACTGTCAGGGCGCTTTGCTGTCCTTTCAATAAACTTTGTGCTTGCTTTATTCTTAACTCCTGGTCCAGCGTCTTCAGTCATCCACTGCACCAGGACATGAACTAGGGAGCAACAATCTAGTATCACTATCAGCCTTCAAGTTATAATTTGATCCCATAGAGTAACTCATGCTGGTTTGTGTTCTAGTAACTAGTGTTCAGTCTTCCAGTTCGAAAGCTGAACACAGACCGGATCTTACGCTGTTGAACCTGACCTCACCTTTGTCTTCCACAATAATTACATAAAGTTTTTTCCTTCATTATGGTAAGTCTGGTGATCAGCAAGAGGGCTTGAGACAGCTACCCCCTTTAGCCTGTCCATTGAGTAGTATGTTAGAAACTATGCTTATGGAAAGGAGAGCCTAATGAAATAATGATTTTTTTTTTTTTTTGCGGTACTAAGGTTTAAACTCAGGGCCTTCACCTTGAGCCACTCCACCAGCTTTTTTTGTGATGGGTATTTTTGAGATAGGGTCTCTCGACCTATTTGCCTGGGCTGGCTTCCAACCTCAATCCTCCTGATCTCTGCCTCCTGAGTAGCTAGGATTATAGGCGTGAGCCACAAAGCACCCTGCAAATAATGACCTTTGAGCTGGTGGAGTGACTCAAGTGGTAGCACGCCTGACTACCAAGTGTGAGGCCCTGAGTTCAAACCCCAGTGTCACCAAAAAAAAATTTTTTTAATAATGATCATTGTTCTTGAAATTTGCAGAATTGAAAAGCATCTCATGACTAGTAAGTTGCATGTGTGTCATTGGCCACAAGCCTCCACCTGTGAGAAGGGACTCACCAGTCTGTAGTCAGTCATCTCCTATGTAAACCACCCCTAAATCAGCCTCTCAAGAAGATGCTATTTAGGCTACAGCTAGCTTATTATTACAAATTTCTTTCCCGACCGTGGCCTTATCTTTCAAGTAATCTGCTTCCATCATGTAGTGAGCAGACCACGGTTCTATGACAATATTATGCCTATATTGCTGTGCCCAACTCTTCTTGTGCCTCTGTGGATGGTCTCCCCATTCCTGATGGGGTCCTGGGCAACTCAAAACAAAGTAACTTCCTTCTCTGAAGGAAAATGTAGGCATAGAGAAACCAAATTATTTGTTTAGGGAAAAAGAACAAGTGCTAGAAACTTACCTAGGTCCAAATTAGAACCTTCAGGTCACATTGCATCTAAAATATAGTACTGAGCAAGACTTCACTCTTAAATAAAAAGTTTTAATAAAATACTGCACATACATAGTTTTCAAAGATGTTAGGAACAAGATGGTTGGTGTGAATGATAACATATACTATATATAATTAGTAGCAAAAAACAAGGAGTCTCAAATAAATAGTCTTCAGCATTTCTTTTGAAGACATATTCTACAAATCAACTGAGACTGGAGAACAGGCAGGGAAGAGCTGGCTTTTCCCTTAAGAATGTGCTCTTGCTTGGCTTGGGTTAGAGAAAGGAGTCATATTTTCCTTCCAGGAATCAAAAGTTAACATCGGAGTGACCTTCTGGAGAGAGGAATCCTGGCCCTCTCCTTGCCATTTTGCCTGAAATTTCAGAGCATAACTGAAACATACAAAAGCACCACCAGTGAATTGCCCTTTAGGCATCTGAAGACCCAGCAGGGTGGCTGTGGGGCCAGTGGAAAATTCTGGGGAAAGTAGAGCTGGGCTAATTGGAGGAAGATGTCATGTGACAGAGAAGTGGCTATGCCTGAATGTTCTGATCTCGTGCAATAGCTCAGTCACTGCAGCCATTAGAAATCCAAGTAAATACCATGACCATTTATGTATGGTAGAAAAATGCTAGAAGAATTACCCCACTAATTGCCTAGTAATTATACTTTTAAGTTAGCCCACCATTATTGAGAGTGCCGTATCTAAAGATTCAAACATACTTGAAGCCATTAAGATGTTGTTTGGCCTATAGTTTGTATGATATGCAAAATACTAAAAATTCTTCCTTGATCCATCTTTTTTCCCCTATCGAATCCATTGTGATACTCTCCTTTTCCTGGTAAGAGATAAGCACAGGTAAAAAAATTCTCTGTTGGGATCCCTGGCCTAGGCTTGTGAGCTTCTGTACTTGGAAGTCTTGTGCTTGTATATCTGACAGGAGAATAAAGTCTTCAGGGAAAAATCCAAAATGACCCAACTTCTAACAGACAAGACTTTCTCAGGTAGCTATTCAAAAAAAGCATCATCACTAGGATTACAAAAGTGGGCAAGGGTCACCTGAGCTTTGGCACCTCTGGTCTCAGAATGGGCTGCAGAAGACCCCAGTTCGCCCCAATCCTTGGCACAGTCCCTGACGTTTAATACTGACGACTCCACATGCCTTACAAAGACTTCTTGTGGGGCTGGCCCAGGACCTGGGCGAGGCAGTAAGGGATGAGACTGACAGATGCCAAGGGCACTGCTGCGCTCTTGCAGAAGGACAAGACATAGAAAATCAGCTCGATTTGGGATGGGGGTTTCAAAGAGTCAAAGAGGTGCAGGAGGACCAGGGAGACCATGATGCAGCTGAAGCGGAACGGGAACCACTTGCTGAGTTTTCCCTTACAGCTCTCCTTGTACATGCTGGAGTTGAGAGCCAACCCCAGGCCAAAGAGGGTCCCCAGGTTCTTGAGGAGGCTCGCAAAGGGCGTAGTGTCAATGTGGACCCATTCTGGCCGTTCGCACCATCTTTTGGCCTTCTCCAGGGTCCATAGGAGGTCCACTCCCAGCTCCTTCAGCAGCAGGTAAAATCCAATGGCAAAGCTGAACAGGAAGAAGGTGATGAGAAAATATTTCTTGAGACTGGCATTGTAGATGCTCCGGATGTGACTGAAAGTTTCAGCAACAGCAATGCCTGAACAGAAGAAAGTATGACTGTGAGAAATAGAAGGACTGGCAGAGTGGCTCAAGTGGTAAAGCGCTTGCCTAGCAAGCATGAAGCCCTGAGTTCGAAGCCCAGTACCACCAACAAAAACTTAAAACAGAGAAATAGAGAACATTTTGGACCTTTGCTACATGTGAACTTGGACAATGGGTGACATGCCATCCATCCTGCCACTGTGGAATTAAATCAGACATCAAATTGGAGGGTCACCTGGTTTATTTCCATGTGTGACTCCAGCAAGTCCTCAGTTTAGTCTCTTTCAGATGGAAAGTCATATCACTACATCCTATATTTAAGTTTCCTTTTGGGGGGAAGAGGATCCTCCTATTTCCACTTGAATATTCTTAGGAGTGGAGAGCTCACTCCCACTAGAACAGCCCATCTCATCTTTGAATGGACTTGACTGCTAAGTCGTTCTTCCTTGGGCTGAGCTGACATCTGATCCCCTTTAATGCCATGTATTGATCTCTGTTCTTTCCATAGGAGTTAGTAAGTTGGGAATCTAGTCCCTCTATCACATGTTTGAAGACAGTTATTCTCCTCTCTAACCTAAACAAGATATAGCTTCCAGATTCTTCCTTGAACATGGAACCCAGTACTGTGTTATTTTGTGGTCACCATGGTCCCCTTATTTCCCCTGTTCTCAACACTGCTCTTTGAATGTTACTATATTCTACTCTTAGACCACCAGGGGAAAGATTACACAATTGCCTTAAGTGCCCTCTACAAAATCAAGAAATTCTTCCTTACGTTTAAGTTAAATCTTTTATTCTCCTTATTAATTGGATCTAAGAAAATGCAGATATACAAAACTCTGAGCCTATAAAAGAGATCACCTGCTGATATCTGTTAGGTTTGCAAATGAATATAAAGAGCTTTTCTAGAATATAGTGTAAATTTGTTAAAGTTGGTAGATTCCCTAAAAATGAAATTAGGGGCTACTTTCAGTTGAAGATCATAAGAAATAAAGAACACTAAAAGCTTGGAAATTTTAAGCTAATTCAACTGGTGAGTTAATTGGATGTGTTACAACTTTTCTGGGACACACTTAATTGTGTAGATCTGGGTACTGCTATAGAAATTAATCATTCCCACTCTTGACTTTCAAACTATTGAAATGCTAATAGCATTTGGTAACATGGCTGGGATTATATCCTAATTAGGAAGAAATAGGAAGAGGGAGGAGGAGGGAATCACAGCAGCTGATACCTGACAAGACTCCAGCGACAACTTGGTGGGGAAAGTGAGCAGCAAGGTAGATCCGTGACAGACAGACGTTCAGCTGCACAGCCCAGTATCCTAACCACAGCATGATGTTCAAGCACCTACAGCGGAAGAGGCAGCCAGAAACAGAACTCAGATGCAGATTCTTCAGCAAAGAAGACAGCCCCAGAGCCTGGCAAACTTCGGTGCCTTCAGTGGAATTTTTGTAAATCTCAATCCTATTCAAAAGCTCCAAGATGCCCGTGACAAGTGGTGAACTCTTGCTTCTGGGAATTTTAACCTCCCAATTTTATCTAAAGAGTCACACAGTGACTGAACACCTAGAATATCCTGTTTTATGTCTCTGTTTATTTTACCCTAGCTGAGTATTTTATCTAAGCCCTGCCACTATCTCCTCCATCTTTTTTTTTTCTCCTCAATGTTTTTATTTTTCATTTAAACTTAAGTAGGTAAACTTACTTTTACCTATTTATTTTTTTAATACTATCTGTGTATATATTAAAATTTTATTAGCATATACTGACTGTACAAAGAAGTTTCATTGTAACATTTCTATAGATGTAGATAATGTACTCTGATCAAATTCACCTCTTCCATTACTCTTTCTTATCCCCTCCTCTATCATTTCTCCCTTTATTTTATAGTTTTTAATGGATATCATCATGCTATTTCTTTTATTGGTGGTACTGGGGTTTGAACTCAAGGCCTTGCACTTACTTGCCAGGCAGGAGAGCTACCACTTGAGCCACCCCTCTATCCTCATTAAGATCTTTGATCCATTTTGAATTGATTTTTGAACAGGGTGAAAGATGGGGGTCTAGTTTCAGTCTTTCATGTGTGGCTATTCAGTTTTCTTAAAACATTTGTTGAAAGGCTGTCTTCCCCACTCCCCCTTTGGTGGGACTGGGGCTTGAACACAAGGCTTCGAGCTTATAAGGCAGGCGCTCTACTGCTTGAGCCACACCAACAGTCCAGTTTTGTTTTGGTTACTTTGGAGATGCGGTCTTGCGAACTATTTTTCTGGGCTGGCCTTGAACCACAATTCTCCCGATCTCAGCTTCCCAAGTAGCTAGGATTACAGGCATGAGCCATGGGAGCCCCACTGTCTTTTCTTCATGTTTTTGGCTCCTTTGTAAAAAACAAGATGGCTGTAACTACATGGATTTATTTCTAGGTCTTCTATTCTGTTGCTTTATGTGTCTTTTTGTTATTGTTGTTTTGCCAGCACCATGCTGTTTTCGTTACTGTGGCTCTGTAGTATAATTTGATGACAGGTATTGTGATATCTCCCACATTGCTCCTTTTGTTCAGGATTGCTTTGGCTATTTGGGGTCTTTTGTACTTCTATATGAATTGTAGGATTCATTTATGTTTCTGCAAAGAGTGACTTTCGGGTTTTAATGAGAGTTGCACTGAATCTGTAAAAGGCTTTCAGTAGTATAGCCATTTTCACAATATTAATTCTGCCAGTCTATGACCATGGGAAGTCTTTCCGTCTTCCTCACTACTGGATCTTTAGAACCCTTCCATGATGTTAGGCCTCATTCCCTTGTCTAAAAGAGGGGTCGTGCTAGTGGATCCCATCCAGTCCTAACATGCTGTGACTCTAATGTTTAACCTCACAGAAATGCCACAGTCTCACAACCCAAAGTGTGAGAACTGGCTGGGGGAATGTGAGGTAGAACAAGTGGTGTGTCAGCTACAGAAAGAGCCACCTCCTGCCCCCCACCTCCCATACCACAGTGGTGAGCTCTTACCGAAATATGTATGTTGGTTTTTTCTTTCCACGGAAGATAGAAAGGGTAGAGGTGACCATCACGTAGTATACACCTGCTGCACCCATGGCATGGCCGGAAGGACTCCCTAAAGGGCGGGAAAGAGATGAATGGACTATAGATGAGAGGGTCTCCATCTGAGAGACTACTAAGGGGCATCATCTGTCCAGTCATCTGTCCAGCCATTTGTCCATCCATTATCCCATCCATCTACCCATCTATCCACCATTCATTTATCCATAAAATTTATTTAACAAATATTTATTGAACTGCTACCATGTACCAAGCATTGTGTAAGGCTCTGGGAATGCAGTGGCAAGCAAAGCCAGAGAAGGTCCTTGCTTTTGAAGTAATAAACAGTCTGAAGATTACACAAAGAATCAGCATACTGATCAGTGTGTCACTGCACGCTGATCTACCTGGCTGTAATCCCAGTCCTTGGGAAGCTGAGGCTACATAGTAAGATCATCTCAAAAAAAAAAAATAGCTGAATGAGTGAATATGCTCTGAAGTGAACCAATAGTCTGTGAGAGCAAATAAGCAAAGATGTTTCCTAGCACAGGACCAGGGAAAGGGTCTCTAGGAAGGGATGAGACCTTACTGACAATGTTTGTGTCTGAGAACTGTGGGGAGGGATTGGGTTGGATATTCCTACTACAAACCAGAGAGTTAGAGCCATCATTTGACTTAACAATGCAATCTGGCCGTAACTAGTACGACGTAGGCAGCATGTGGGATTGGATGGGTCATCTCAGGGAGACATATGTCTCAGGGACATGTCTCAGGGAGACATATTCACTGGCCCAGGCTGCTGACAAGGACAGTCAGAGACTCGGGCTTCTATCACTTTCCTCTCTCTGGACAAAGGGCCATGGTGCCAGTACTCTCATAAGCCCTTTGCCCATGGGGGTGCCCATGCATCTGTTGGACTAGTAATTTGGGTCCTGAAAACATTAGACAAGTTTTCAAAGTAATATGCTACTCAGGAAGGCTTTGGTGGAGGGAATTAAAACAGAGTTAGGGCTGATGGAGTAGCTTGAGTGCTAGAGCACCTGCCTAGGAAGTATGAGGCCCTGAGTTCAAATCCCAGTACCACACACGCACACAAAGGTTATACCAAATTGAAGACCATGACAGAAGTGTGAAATAATAGCTGTCCTCATGTCCCCTCAAGGTCAGCTTTGTCCACAGTGGATATTAGTAAGTGTCTATGATGAAGGTCTACCCAGCTTCTGTCTCAACAAGGGCTGGGACTCTCACCTGGGCCAGTCTCACAGGTGACTGGGAACTGCTTTATCAGCGGCACAGAGGTGTTGCTATAGTAGTCAGTGTCCAGGACCCACCAGTATGGGCGCTGTCCAAAAAGAATCCTGTGGAAAAGTAGAGCCAGTGTTCAGAGTTACTCAACAGATGCTTTGACACAAACTTCACCCTTTTTGTTGGTGCTGTTTTTAAGACAGGAGCTAGCTGTATAGCCCAGGCTGGTCTTGAGCTGGCGATCTTCCTGCTTCAGCCTTCTGAGTGCTGGGATTACAGGTGTGTACCTCCATGCCTAGCAGTAGCCTGTACTTTTAAGAGGAGAGAGAAGCTTGAGGAGATCTGTGTGCTGCCTCTGGAAGGGAAACTGTGTAGCCACATAGTAGAGGGAGACTTTTCAGAACACATTCTGTGCATAACTTTTGACATTTGAATAATGTATTATCTATTCCAACATAAATAGATAAATCCAGAAGTAGGGCACAGTGGAATGCGTTTTAGTTACTTAGGAGACTGGCAAGAGGGTCACTTGACCCCAGGAATCTAGGGCCAGCTTAGGTAACATAATGAGACCCTGTCCCTTAAGAAAAATAAATTAATAAATAAACCCAAGATCTAAAAATCCATATTAATGATAGCTATGGAACTTCTTGGTTTTTTAACCCAAAGAAGAACTTGCCCTGGAAGAATGTATACAGAGTTGTCGAGTTTGCATCTTGAACTTGCGTGTTCTATGGATTCCCTCTTTTCCTTTAAGCTCAGAGTCTTGGGTCTCCTCTGACATCAGAGAATGTGTCCTAGCCCCGAGGACAAGCTCCTACTTGAGTCCTGGCCTCTATTCCCATCAGAATTTGGTCCTTATAAGGATGTACATAGCTTCAGTGGTTTGCTCTGTACCTGTCTTCTTTGAAACAGGATATCTCAGACAAACCACTTCCTCTTTATAAGTATTAGATATATTTTTCACTGTGGAGACAAGTGTCAAAGTCATAAAGATCCTTCCTTTGCCTGTGATGGTGGAACAATGATTTCTTCTAGAAATTGGAGACAGTGCTAACTCTGACCTCTATCAATCCAGAAAGAATCCATGATTCTTTTATGAGACCAGATGTTTGGAATAAACTTTTATTTTTAAAAAATTTAGTGTTATGTTGCTATATAGGAGAAGTTACAGACAAAATTTAGTAACTTTCGAACAGAGGTTTCTTGACAGAGGTTTCAGCCCAGGCTGGTCTAAAACTCCACCCTCCTGCTTCAGCCTCCTGAAACCTCCATACACAGCTTCAACAGAACTTTCGGAGTCTCATCCACATACCTTGGGCTCTGGAACCCAATAACAACTTTTATTTTTACACTTAAGAAAATGTATGGTATATGGTCCAAGAATATTAGAGCTGGAAGAAATCTTAAAAATCAGTTTTTGCCTTGCATGGTGGTACGCACTTGTAATCCCAGCATTCGGGAGGCTGAGGCAGGAGGACTGAGTGTTTGAGGTCAATCTGGGTCACACAGCAAACTCAAAACCAGCCTGGGGCTACATCGTAAGACCCTGTCTAAAAAAAAACTCAAAAACTAAATCACCTGTGGCTAGGGGTTTGTTCTGTGGTACAGTGCTTGCCTAGAACACACAGGCCCTGGGTTCTATTCCATTCCTCAAAATAAAAAATCAAAAGCAAAGCAAAAAAAATTCCCTGGTGCTGGACATAGATGTTTCTAGGGATGGTCTCAGAGGACAGCTGGTTCTCTTCATTTTCTAGTTCTGGAAACAGAGGCCAAGCAAGTAGTATGCCAGAGTTAGCCAACATGGCTAAATATTCAGGATTTTTGCAATCCAGAACCATAGAGGTGGCCATGGGGCAATATTTTTTGCGGTCCTGGGGTTTGAACTCAGGGCCTCATGCTTGCTAGGCAGGTGCTCTAGCACTTGAGCCACTCCACCAGCCCTGTTTTGTGTTGGGTATTTGCAAGATAGCGTCTCTCAAATTATTTGCCAGGGCTGGCTTCTAACCATGATCCTCCTGATCTCTGCCTGTTGAGTAGCTAGGATTACAGGCGTGAGCCACTGGCACCTGGCTCATATGGAATGTTTACACGATGGACACTGGCAAGTGCTAAAACCAGGGCTGCCCTCCAAATCCACTCAGTTTATCAGCTCTGGATATAACAGAGCTCTTAAGAGCATTGAATCCTGGCTTTGCCAGTGGCTAGTCATGTTGCTAATCAGGTAACTTGTGCCTGCTCCTTTCTGTGCCACAGTAATAACTCCCCCGCGGAGAAGCCGATGGTCTGGGGCTGGGGATGTGGGTCTGTTGCAGAGCGCTTTCCTAGCGTGAGAAGGCCCTGGGTTCCATCTCTAGCACACACACACCAAAATCACCTGGCCTGGCACATAAAAAATGCTCAGTAAGTGTTAACTATGGATATTATTGAGGCTCTGGAGATAATCTAAGCATATACGTTACAAAACAGAAGCTGAGGGCGTTGATTTGACTCACCAAGGGCATACAATCAGTAGGTGACGAAGCATAGACTGGAGTCAGTTTTCTGGATTACTTTTCACTATCCCACATGAAAGCCTTTTAATTTATCTTTTTTCTCTTTCCATACATCATTCTTTCATATACCTGTCTTTCTATTACCTATTCTACTTTGGAGTAATAACACTGTGTTTCTTTGCTTAAAGCCCACGGTCAGGCTTTTCACTAAACTCAATGGTCCTTACATCCCTTCAATGCATATGAAATAGGCTTTCCTGTTTCCAGCTCACTGCGAGGATTTTCTATCTGCCTTCACTAAGTAGAGAATCCCACATCAAGAGCTGTGGCTTCCTGAATAGCATGGGGCACACACCAGCTGATGGATAGACAGACCTTCCCAGAGAGAATGACAGCCTCCCTCCTCAAACATCTCCCTCTCCATGGTGCTTACCACTTAAAGACGAGGTTGAGCCAGTCTCCAATCACAGCTACCCAGAGGAGTCTGATGCCCACAGCTTCGTGAAGATGGAACCAGATGGGGAAGAGGACATAGAAGGCATTCCTGAGGTCGGCAATCACAGACACCAAGATGAACCAGTCCTGGGAGTCTTGGTAATTTACCTGAAGGTAGCGCGTTGACTGGATCCCAAAGTCATGGAGAGCATTCATTCCTTCCTCCATCCTCATTTCCTCGGCACCTCAGGAAGCTACTGGCAGAGCCCGTGCAGTTATGTCAGGCTTGGTGGTGATTGCTCTATCAGTCTGCTCCTTGCCCCTGTTTTATATGCTCTGTATCCAGTCTGCAGGTCAACCCAGCCCTGATCTTTGGACTCAAAATCCACTTTTGTCTAAAATCTATTGATCAAAGGTGCATCATCAGTAGGTCGATGCAAACACGTAGAGGGTAATTTACGTAAAATAGCAAAACGGGCACACAAAAACAGCCTGATCAGTCATTGGCAGGGCCAATGATTAACTTGGGCATGCTGCTTGACAGTGCAAGGGGCTGCCCTCCTGGTCCTTGAAACTAGGCCAGAGACAAGGGCAGAGTCTAATTCCACCACAGTCTTTGCAAAGGTATCTGATTGTCTAAGTCTGCAACTGCACTTATTTGGGGACAAAGAAATGTCTTGGTGTGCTAGCTACTCAAGTTTTAGTCATTAATTTAAAATACACAGTAGGAAGTTCTGTTGGGCTGGGAACTGTCACTTTGTTGGTCCTTCCCTAACTCATTAGCGTCTGGGGTCTAGGCCTCTGGTTTGGGAAGGCAACCGTCTTTCCTGTCTTGTCTCCATATCTCTTAGGACTGGAAAATAATCATTTTGGAGTGCAGTGATTAATTCATTGAATGGCTTTAAAGTCAGGACCTTTGGGGTTTTAGCATATAAGTTTAAGCAACAGAATTAATGTATATTCATGTAATAACAAGAGAAGCATGTGGTTCCAAATAAGAACACTAGCCAGCTGGTAACTGGAGACTGGAGAAAAAGTTGGGAATTTTTAGTTATTCTTGAGAAAGGGCTTCACTATTTTGATTTTTCTTTCATTCATGTTAATACAATCAGCCTGCCAGCAGGAAAGAGGTCAAAAACCTCAGTCTTGGGGTCATGGAGAACTCGGAAGGGAGGAGGGGAGGGAATTAGGTGACAACTTCATGCTGTGCCTTTTTTTTTTTTTTTTGGTGGTACTGAGGATTTGAACTCAGGGTATCATGCTTCCCAGTTAGGTTCTCTACCACTTGAGCCACACCCCCAGCCCTTTTTGCTTTAGTTATTTATCACTTGAGCAACTCTGTCAGTCCTGAGTAGTCTCTTGTTTACACCCAAGCCAGCCTGCACTGCACTGTGATCCTCCCATTTTTATTTCCTGTGCAGCGGGGATGACAGGTGCATACCATCACGCCCAGCGTTTATTGGTTAAGATGGAGGACTTGAGAACTTATTGCCTGGGTTGGCCTCAAACTGTGATCCTCCTAATCTTTGTCTCTTGAGTAGTTAGGATTACAGGCGTGAGCCACCACGCTGGGCTAAATTCATTCATTTTTAAGGGTAGAGCCAGTAGGAATAAAATGTTTTAAAACCTACCTGAATTTTTTTGTCAGTAAGCTCATATTGATGTGTAAGAAGAAGGTCTGAGATAGAAAGAGGAAACTCCAATTGTCCTTGACCATGTTGTCTTTGCTAGTCCAGTCAACCTTACCCTGCCACTCCTGGCCTGGAGAACATGGGAGGTGGTCATGGCTGTGGGTTGGCTGCAAAGAAACCCTGTGCTCAGCGGTGTTGGGAGGTGGGACATGCGTGCTCTGCCTTATCAGGTGAGTAGGCCTCACCAGAAGAGACATCTCCATCCCTCTACCAGATAAGTCTTCCTAGGAGGTATTGAGTAACTCCTGTGGTGGTCCCTGGGACTGTAATGTCTATGATCTGAGGTGAGTTGAGGGCAAACGGCAAATCCTCTGACAAGATATCCAAAGGCCACTGACTGGTCTCTGCGGGACTGCTAGAAGCCAGGATCTCAGCCTGGGGGTTCTGTCATGTGCTCAGTATATGGGGAGCAAATGGACAGCATTATCTTCTGGGGCACCTCAGGGAGAATGCTGCTGTTGAGAAGGACTTGTAGAAGGGCTGATGTCCCATTCTGGGCATGCAGAAGCTGTCGGTTCTCTCTGGCAGGCTGTGGGCAGGTAGGGGACCTTCTTGGTCACAGCAACAGTGGTTTACATCATGGAACTGCTTGTTAGACCACCTTTTGACCTTTCAGCTCCTTCTTGCTTCCTTTAGCAAGTTTTTGTCATATGCAGAAAGCGGTGAAACCCAAAGAACCTGAGCCTGTTAGAAAGCTGACCAAAGAGAGAAATCGTGTATCCTCTCACGTCTTATATTTAGATGAGTTGGATATTGTGGATAAAGTTTCTGGGCTGCTGGAGGTTTTGCTAAGAATCTACTCATTTATGGAACTTTTCACCAGGTGTTGTGGGGCACACCTGTAATCCCAGCATTTGAGAGGCTGAGGCAGGAGGATCCTGAGTTAGAGACCAACCTGCACTATATAGAGAAACCTGGCCTCAAACAAACATACGACAAAAGCAACGAAAGTCTCAGGGCTGAGGGTGTAACTCAGCAATAGAGCACTTTGTAGCATGCATGAAACTGAGCTGGATTCCCGGCCTTGCAACAACAACAATTTAAAAAAACTAAAAGAAAAAACCATCTGCAGGAAGGGGATCCCACTGTCTCCCTCTCATTCTTGTCATCTCTTTCAAGAAATTCTCCAGTTTAATTCAACCAACATTTTCCAAACAAAGCACTGTCCTTTGCCGGCTCTCAGGAATTCAAAGTTAAATCCTGGTTTTCCTTTGGGACCTTGAGAGTCTAGAGGGGCAGGGAGGTTGGGACTTTACAATGATGTCAACTGAAGGATCCTCATATTGAAAAGGAATCTCACTTGTTCAAATATCAGTGAGCTCATTATTTGTTCTCAGTGGGAAGACAAGCCTCGTTCATGCCGTCTGTGAAATGCCAGCCAAGTCTGAGCAGCAAGGTACACTAGCAGACCACTCCCCAGGCATTTTTCTCCACAAATAGAAATCCAGAGGCTTGGGGAAAAACATGAAGGCAAAGGGCCAGAAAGTACAGTCTGGCCCACCATTAATAGCACACCAGGTTCCAGTGTCCTGGCTGACACCTTCTTTTTCCAGAGTAGGTTGACTCATTTCCTTAAGTTTATTTGCCAACAGAAAAGCCAAGAGAGGAAGGAGCAATAAACCATCAGGCACATCACCTAAAAATTTCATGCACCACCCAAAAAGCAAACCTGACTTCATCTGCAGCTAAGTTCTCTATTCTAGCTGGCACTCTGGGCTCTGTTGAGAGAGGTCTATCTTTAATAACTATTATCATCACCAGAATGTGTCTTAGCTACACGTTGCAGCTGGGTTTTATGCCCCAGCTGCAATCTCCATTTTCATCTGAGCAGAGAGGGTTACAATCAAAGCTGCAAGATACAGAGTTTAATTTTTAAAAATGCTTTACATCTTTGGTATTTGTTTCCCCTCTTCTCCACATGAGCAATGGAGGAGACGGGAGGTGTTTATTGGTGGCCTATAGAAACTGGCTGGTTCAAGTGCTGTCATCCTCAGAGTGAGTGACCAGGCTCATTTGCTAGAAAAACAGATTAGGAAAAACAGGTGGAGGTGGATTAATCATTGTTAGCCGGTAAGGAAGTTTAGCCTCAGGACCTTGAACTGTGCATCTGTTGACCAGGTGGGAGACTGGATCCCGGGAAGGGCTGGACATTTTGTCCGCAGATAAAAACACCTGAAGGCCTTTGCTTCATTACAAACCAGGAAGCGCTCCTGGCTCACTCCCTTCCTCCTGCCACTCCAGAACATGCCTTCTACCAAAATCAAGCTCCAGTACGCCCTTCCTCTCCCTCCCCTCCCTCTTCCTTCATCTTCCTTCCCCAAGAAAACTGCTGTTTCCCCCAGGAAATATCCTGTTTCCACACACGATCAACCTGTCCCTCATGAACACATGGGAGACCCTTTCCCCTTCCCGATCCATGCTTTGGACGTGCCAAACCACTCTAGCAGTTAGGAAACATTCTTGCTGTCAAATGTGATCCTTCCTTGCTAGGAATTGAACTTGGTGGACGGTACATGGCAGAGGCAGAGGCATGGGAAGGACGTTTTCAAAAAATGTGGTCGGAATTGCTTTCATGATTTATTTCTCAGCAATCTTGTTATTGTTGTATAAATGTGCTATTGATTTTTGATGTTGATTTTTTACCCTGCAACTTTACTAAATTTATCAGTTTTAATAGTCTTTTGATGGAACCTTTAGGTTATCATACATATATGTATGTGTATATATATGTATTTTTTAAATGTCATCAGGAAATTGGAAGAGGCTCATTTTCCCCTTTGTCCTGGTCTGTACCCCATCAGCAAAGAGGCCTTAGAGATAAGGGACATGTGACTTGAGCTAAGGATCCATCCCCAACTACTGTTCCCTCTTTCTTCAACTCAAATTCTTGGGAAGAACTGAGAGCAACTAAAGGGCAGGAGATCAAGTCATCAGTCACGCAGCCACAGCTCAGTTGGGTGGGGATGGGAGTGAGATGGAGGGGACTAGGGGCAGAAGGTGGGTATAGGGCAGCAGATGCCTTACTTTTCCTTAGAAGACTCAGAAACACCTGTACCTCAGGAGAAGGTACCTCCCCCATTGCCATCACCACAATTAAAAAAATAAAACACAATCAATGACAAGATTAAAGAGCTACACAAACTAGACCAAGTCACTGGAGTTCTCTGGGTCTTAATTTTGTCACCTGGAAACCCTCACATGCTTTCAGCCTTTGCATTCTGTGAGTGTGTGGGCTTCTAAAAGTAGCTCCAATGAGAAGGTGCCTCACTTTTGGTGATCTGACAGAAATAAACGACTAACTACTGCCAGGAGGAAATGATTAATGGGGTCTTTTTTTTTTTCTTTTTCTTTGAGAGAAAGAGAGAGAGAGGATCTCACTGTGTAGCCCAGGCTGGCCTCAAACTCTGACTTCTATATCAGCCTCCCAAATACAGGCATGCACCACCATGCCTGGCATGGGGTCCTAGTTTTAAAATTAAAATCTTTTCTGCCTAGCACAATGGCATATACCTCTAGTCTCAGCTGCTTAGGAGGCTGAGGCAGAAGGATCACTTCAGCCCAGGAGCTGGGTGGCAGCCTGGGTAACATAGCAAGACCCTATCTCTTAACACA